ACTACTACTACTACTACTACTACTACTACTACTACTACTACTACTACCCCAACCATCCTCAGTGGGCTAGAATATTTTTTTTTGGTTACCTTTTTACTTTTTTATTGATCCCCGTTGAATATTTTTTTTGCTTCTATTTGTTTTATTTTGATCCCTTACCCAGATATTCGAGGCTTTATCTCAGCACACAAATCTATAGTAACATATAGTAACATAGTACTTGGTAGTGTTTGCTTCAGACCTGTTGGTTTTCAACCTACTAGCGATAGCTGTTGGACTGGGAAATCCACGAGCAGAATCTCGCAGAGCTTGTCACCGGCCTCCGGCCTCATGGTGAGGATGAGATGGACATCATTATGTCAGTTGATTTTTTCTTAGAAACGGATACCGAAAAAATCAAGATAGTAATACAAAATTGTTTGATACAAGGATGAATGGCTCACTTGTCGATGTTTCTGTTGGCCTTCTTGTTGCTAAGTTTGATGTCCCTTCGTGTTCATCTCAACTGTGTCGGTGTGTGTGGAACTTGTGAAAGGGGATGAACAATTCATGCCACGTCCACCACACCAATTCCTGACGTTTCAAGGTGAAATCGCTGATGAACGCGCTGAGGCCGTAACGTTCTTGTAGAGCAGAGAGATCCCACTTTTGTGATGTGTGATTCAGTCAGACATTTCGCCTTTGAAGCAAGAGGTAGCAAGGGATGAGCAAGCTGCCGTCGTACTTGTTCAAAGTACCAGTTGTGAATAGAAAGAATGGTCTTCGCTTGGAAGTAGCAACTTTCTTCTAAAATCGGTTTGGTATTTAGGCCCAGGAACGCCAGTTTGCTGCAGTATGTTTCCAAATGCGGGAACGCTGCGCCGCTTGTGAAAAAAGCCAAGCAGACATGTGTTGCACAACCCTGTACTTCCTTGGTGTGATAGAAACGATACAGAGGCAAAGGTCAAGATCTTGATGTGAGGAAGTCTCTGCGCCCAGGCAGTGGCAGGTGTCCAATATTCTGAGTACAACATGAGAAAGTCTTTTCCGGGCGGCATAATCTGCCTAGCCCACAGCCAATCAGTCCACAAAGTCGTCAAAGTGTAGATAAGAGAGGTTGCTACTAGTAGTCTGGCCAAGAGCTACTATGTAGTAGCTTCTTGCTGCTAGTAGCGATGCCCTTTGTTACTAGTAGCTTCTTGCTCCTAGTTGTGTTTAAACGGTTTCGAACGCGAAGGAGAAGCGAAGCACGAAGGACGAGAAGGAGAGACGTCTCCATGCGGTTCAGAGGGTCTCGTGAAGGACGTCTCGTTCACAGGAGGTCCCTCAGGCGGTCCGTTAAGTCACAGCGGTGTGAAAATGGATTTTGAACGGTTGTCAAATCATTTTGAGAGATGATTGTAAGGGAACTGGTCACTCTTTCTCAAGAGCCCACGGATTTAAGAGAATCAGGGACTGCTTTTCGGATTTGTGGTTGATACAGCTTTCTGCCTTGTACAGCAGACGATCTCTCGGAAAAGTGGATAGGCTTTGTGTAGCACAGCACAGCGGTTTTGTGTTGCCGATGAATCTGATGATGACTGGTTGACACGCTTCTTGGATGGAGTTTGTGTGGTCAAAGGCTGAAGCAGAAGATATCAGAGCAACATGAAGTTACACAAGGTCATTCAACTGGTTCGTCATATTATACTTCAGCAGGTGCTTTGGAGGCCATCGCTTGTGGCGCCTCATAATGATCCGTTTTACGTGTTCCAAAATGATTCGGGTGCCTCGCTTGTAGGTTGGAGGCCATCGCTACTATTGGTTCTTCGTATCTAAAATTGTAGCAAGAAGCTACTAGGAACAAAGGGCATACTAGGAGCAAGGACGCTACTAGTAGCTCCTGGCATTGCTACTAGTAACAAAAAGCTATTAGGAACAAGAAGCTACTAGGGGCTCCTGGCCTTACTAGGAGCAAGGACGCTGCTAGGGGCTCCTGTCATCGCTACTAGGAGCATTCTTACGACTAACAACAAGAAGCTACTAGAATTTAATTAAAGAAATTAGAATTAAATCTAAATTAATAGCAAACATTGTTACTACTAGTAAGGCACCTGTTACTACTAGCGTGGCACTTGTTACTAGTAACAAGAAGCTACTAGTAACATTGCTCGGATGATTTGGAGACGCTTTTGAACCTCGGGAGCTGAACGTGCGATGGAACCGCTGCTGAAGCTTGCGAAGGAAGATGACGAGGCCCGGTTAGACTTCAAGCCCACATGAACTACGGAACGAAATGAAACAAATTAGGCATGTTCAAACTCAGCCACTGTGTTGAAAGTCACAACGTTTCCAGGAGAGCAGCAATGATAGCTACTGCCGGAAAGACAACGTCACCTACCGCGATGTGCTCTCGCATCAAGCCACACTGGTCTTCACTGATGAAGGACGGATCTTCCGGGCGAAGTCAGGGTTTGCCCAAGGGGATGAGGGGATGCTTCTTCCGTTGGATTCCGTGGGATGCTACTTGTAGCTATAGGGCATTACTAGTAGTAACAAGGGCATTACTACTAAACACAAGTAGCACCCCTTTTTTCTACGTTTAATGATTTCGACCTGAGAAAGCTTGAGGGCGTGGAAGACGGGAAGACGGGGAGGTCCAAAAGAGGACACTGTAGAACACTGTATGCAGTTCCTCCAGAAGATGTTCCAAGCGTGGATAAAACCCATGACATCATGACAGTGTCACATTCAAGTTGTTGCATGTGTGTAAATGATGTGTCTACTCATACTATTTGTATGGGTATACTCATACTATACTCGGTTTTCTGTTGAAATGGTGAAGATTTTTGCTTGGTCTTTTGAGCTCAGGACATGCCGGAGTGGGGACCAGCGCTTTGAATCTGGTGCCGAGTCCCAAGGGTCAGTCAGTTGAGCCGATGCAAGCGAATGAGGATGAACAAGCTTCTTGTTACTAGTAGGGCCAGGAGCCCCTAGTAGTTTCTTGTTCCTAATGCTGCATGCTGCACAGCCAAGTAAATGCAATGTAAATGCAGGTGTGCCAGCAAAGTAGGAGGAGAGAAGTGTTGTCACTTGCTTCTATGGCCTTGCGACACATTTGTCTCGACGCTGCGTCCGCACCCTTGCACATGAATCATGTTACTTGCTGTTCACAGGTCCTACAGGTGTTGGTTTGCTGTTTGCTTTAGCCTGCACATCTATTTGCAAGCAAGTCTCAATGACATGACGAGGGATTGCAGCCATACGGCTTTCTTCTCACATTGCCATTGGCTTGTGAAGATTGAGTTGTGCTGCGATAAAGTGATTGACATGTATGTGGGCAGCTGCGCAACCGTTGCACAGTCTGGTCGGAACCTGTCTGACACGCTCGGCTCCCCACGTGGCTCCGAACCGCGCGGGTCGCGCGTGCCGCCGGCTTGCTCGGTAGGTGCTGTCGACCATTGGCGTTGGAGCTTTGACATTGCCCTACACCACCGCGACGATCGGATGGCTTCAGCCTCTTGTCAGGGTGGGTCCTGGGAGTCAGGAGGTTTCTTCGTTTGGAGAGCACAGCCTAGCAGTAAAGTGACCAAAGCTGGGCCGAGTGGGGGATTCGGTTCACACCGTGAGTGGTAACGAAGAACTGGTGTAGAACTGGTGCCAAGACTGGCAGCGTGCGCGAGGACGAATCTCGAAAACGAATACTGGCAGCGTTGAGCAGATCAGTGATGAGTGTGATAAGTCGGATCTGCCATGAGGCCATATTCAGACGTTTCAAAGGTCCGTTGGAAACCTAAAGAAGAAGAAACAAATGAATGTTTGTTCCAATATGGCAGTTCAGATGCTTTACAGAGGAAGTGGTTGTTTGGGGAAACATCCATTGATTTCTGGTTGTTTGGGTTTCCAGGAGGTTGTAAAGTGTTTGTTGAGTGACTTCTGCTGTTTCTTGTTTTGGCTCAGGTCCCTTCTGTTGCTTGTGGCCTTCTTCCTGGTGAGCGTCTACAATCTGTACTTGCTTGATTTCGTTTGCAGGTCACCCAAGTGCAGCAATTCCAGGCAGACATCGACATCGGACAAAACAAACACAACATGGACCATGTTTTTTTCCCAGACAATCTCAGAAAAAAAACGTTGGACCCGTCGTCAACGCTGTGTCAACATCTCCTTTGTGGCTGTTTCAGATCCTATGCTGCTGTGGTCTCTGCAGTGTTGGGCAAGTCCGGTGCGTGACCTGCATGCATCTTACTCCACTTTCTCTTCTTTGAAAAAGAGACGCAGCGCCATCGGGCCACCAACAAGCCCTTGTAAAAACATCGGCTGGGCTTGTTGTACTTGTAGTTTTATTGTTACTAGTGGATGCCCTTTGCTCCTAGTAGTCTCCTTTGCTCCTAGTAGAAAGGCCAGGAGCCCCTAGTAGCGTCCTAGGTATTGCTTGGAAGCCTTCATGTTGCTCTACTCCTTCGGCTTGTCCGTGTCCTACATGGGCGTCATCGGCACAGAGTTGGCTGTCCTCATTCCCTTGGTCACTGGAGTCCAATTGCCCATCTCACAGGCATTTGGAACAGTTTTCTTTGTTAAGCATGGTCCGTGCACGAGAGGTCTTTTTTGCATATGTTGTTTTTGGTTAAACATGAGCGATCGGACGCTACGAACGGGGACAGACACGTCTTCCGTCGGGAAAAGACGTCCGTCATCGACGTCCGACTCGAAGAGGACGACCTGTTGAGCATCGTGGCCCTTTTGGTGGTGCTGCCTTTATCCTTGCTGCCGGACCGAGGAACAGACAGGTTTGTCGCCATCATTAGATTGAAGGGGCCATTGCCAGGTTGGAGGCTTACTCTTTCCAGGTCTAGTAGGTTGAGAATCGACGGAAACACCCCATAGACTCATCATCTCGAGGCTATGACGTTTCGCCGGTTGTGTCCCGTCGAATCAACCGGCTGCTGGTGTTGGGTGACGTTCGCTGGCTCGGTGTGACACCAGGACACGCTGCTCCGCATGTCTGGAGCCGTGGGGACACTCTGTATGATTCTCACCACAGACACTTGGACAGTAAAAGGAAGTGGTGCATGATTCTCACTATCAGGTTAAAGATGGTTAAAGCATTAGGTTGGCTTCACTCTTTTGGTTTACATCTCAAATCATTGCTCGGTCGGTGACACGTTCGGAACCGTGCAGTTTTCATCCAGCTGAGGTCATCGTGGTGGCCATGGTGCCATGGGAGATGGAGCCTCCTTTCGTGGATGCTTGCAGTGATGCTTACAGATTCAGCAAAGGAGAGCCAGGTGAGGTGCTTTTGCTCGGTGGACATCGTCTTGAACGATTTGGGCAATCATATGTAGTAGCGTCCTTGCTCCTAGTAGAGTATGTCTTCACTTCCTTTTTGCACTGTTCATGTATTTTTTTGATGTGCACCTGGCTTCATGTGACGAGGCTCGTTGTTTTTGGTGACCTGGCATTCATCCTTCGTGGCACTCCTGTCAGCAGTGCCCATGTCTCTTGGACCTGAAAGTAGTGTTTGACGCTGGTCTGTGCTACACTGCTACACTCGACGTGCTGCGCTTGTGATTTTTGCATCGCATGAGACGTGTCTTGGACCCCCCAGCAAGTTTATGATGATAGATGCACCACAATTCCTGTTTTCACAATTCCTCTGAGTGAAATTCATGGTTGGAGTTTGGCCGCAAATTCTGGGGAAAGTGCGCGAAAAGGTGACATGAAAACATGGTATCCTTTCAACGTTGGGATTGCACAACACAGGGAAGGCTGGCCACACTGCCAAAATCTGAGGTTTTCCTTCTGCATGAATGCTGCCACAGCCTTCGTGTCGATTCGCTCAGAGATGGGAAATTTGCCACTGAGCTTTTTGGAGAGCTGGGGTGTGTATTAGAATAGGGAGACCGAAAACTCTTTCGACCAAAGCCCACTGGGTTCTGCGAGGTTCTCCCTATGCGAAATCCACACCCAATTGAACCTTGTGTTCATTGGTGTTTGTATGAATCGATTGATCTTTTTTATCGTAAGAACAACACATCATAAGGCAACCACGTACCGTATGCTGTACCGTACGTAACTCACAGTGTGGTAGACCTGTATACGGTATAATACATTATAATACCCTTTGTTTTGTCTTTTGGACCGGCGCCGAGGCTCAACGAACCTGCTCCCAAGGATGTCCGGGCGCTCATTTGGATTGCGCAGACCTTCGCCCTCCTGGAGCGGCAGATATGTTCGATGTGAAAACAGAAACGCGGGGGGGTAGGAAGCTACTAGTAACAAGTGCATCGCTAGTAGTAACAAGTGCCTTACTAGTAGTAACAAGAAGCTAGTAGAAACAATAAGCTAATAGCGTCCTTGCCCCTAGTAGCGATGCCCCTTGTTCCTAGTAGCTTCTTGCTCCTAGTAGTAAGGCCAGGAGCCCCTAGTAGCGTCCTTGCTCCTAATAGCAATGGCCTCCAACCTAATTACTAGCGATGGCCTCTAACCTAAGAGCGAACAGCACACGAGCGAAACAGCCGAAGTGGGTTGCGTTGCGTTGGTAGGCCGGTTCTTTTTCATGTTGGATGGTCAGTGCTGGTGAGCGATTTCCAGGACTATTTGGTGAGTGGCGCTGCTGGCTACGTCTCTTTCTGCCAAGGAGCACCAGACAATGTCCTTGATGGTGACTTGATGCAGAAGCAAAGGGAGTTGGTCAAGTGACATCCACAGTGTTTCATGCAGTCTGTTTTCTTCTACTACAAAAAGAGCGATCGTTTGAAGCCGCGCCTATCGTGGATTTCTTCTCACAGCTCAATTTGGTGGCTGATTTTGCCGAGGTTTCCCATTGTCGCATTGGCCCAGTTTATTGGCTCGCTTAGCCATTGCCTTGCAGTTGACCTGTGCATGCAGTGGTGTCTACATTCCCTTGGCGCGCGCTGCGCTCACGCATTTGATCAAGGGTTTAGACTCTGGAGCGCCGGAAGGCACCTTCCACCTTCCAAACCCCTGCCCCAAAAGACGGAAAAGAAAAATAAACATAAGTTCTGAGTGACTAGACCTACCCAGTTCCGTTGTTGCTAGATTTGTTCACTTCCTCTTCGTGTTTCAGACATGTGTTCTTTTCGTGTTTTTCTTCGTTGTCAGGCATGAGACGTATCATCTCCACAGTCTTGTTGGTCTTTTTGATGGTCGTGGTGGCTCGGCTTCTGCATGGAGCGCTGGCTTTGCCTTTGGGTTTAACCTCTGCCATTTGCACCACAGCGATTATGTGACTTGGCAGTTCTATGGCAGCTTGAAATTCTCGCTTCCAACTTGTTTCTTTTTTCAAAAGTCAAATCAGCAGCAAACAGAGAGGCAGACAGTGCGGCTTTTTGCGTCAGACATTGCTTGGGGGCGGTTTCCAGGTTCGTCTTTCCTGGTCTTTGTGCGTTCACCCTGAAGTCAAAGTCTAACTGGAGCAAAGTGCTGCCGCTCCTCTTCGCCGCGACGGGCTTCGTCATTGGAACAGCATCGACTGTGACACTGCTGACGACTTGACCTGTGAGACCTGACGAAAATCGTGTGATCGGTCCAATTGCGAAAGGCGCAGAACAACGGCATGTGAAATTAGAAAAGACCGTTGGTCAAACGGTTCCGTTTCTACGCCTCGGCTGCTTTCGAGAGACCCATCTGAAAACTCGCAGGTGTTTGGGATCAGACTTTGACCAACAAAAACAACATGGCAACTTTCCCTGGCTACGCCCAACTAACGAGCCGGATCATCGTCAGTTGCAAGGCAAAACTGAACTCGTTGGCCACCGATGGGGCCGAGTCCAGGTGAGTCGCAATGGCCACTGTGTGACATGCTGGTGGTCTCCTGGCATTCCTTTGTGTTTGTGAGTGATCAAATGCATATTGTTCTGATTGGGTTGCTTCCTATGTGATATCGGTGATTCACTTGTTTCTGCTGGGTCAAGTCACTTTTGTGTTTCTGGAAAGATGGCTTTGGGACTTGACTCTTCAGGTGCGGCTGCTGTTGCTACACTGGAACAAGCCGGTGAGCTTTCCAGGCCGCCGAGAGGAAGCAGCCTTTCAAGTAACCAAGCAAGTACGAGGTAAGTCGAGAAAGCAATCAAGCTTCTAGCTACTGGATGCACAAGTTTCAAGAGCTCAGGTGTCTTCAAGGAAGTTCCCCCGTTTTAGGCGGGGTGAGCTTCCTTGAATAGTTATTTGCATGATTTCTTTGGTTTCTGTGGTACGTCCGTCCGACGATGAGGCTGCAGGGAAGACCAGTGATACCGTCAGGCACTTGCTGAAGCACCCGGCATGCATCCAAAGCAAGTTGGTTAAGCACAGCTTATTCTTTGTTGTCCCCCCAGTGACAGGCGGGCGATTTACATCAGGACCTATAGTATTTGCATTTGATCTCATCCTTCAAGAAGGTTGGGAAGTGGTTTTGATGAATGCCACCTAAGCGATCCCAAGCAGTGACCTCTTGAAGGTCTTGGGCACCTTTGATTGCCCAGCGGCAAAAAGTCATCGCAAGGATACATTGTGCGAAGCGCACACAAGGACATTTGACCGCAGGTCCTGGCATTGCGACAAGTGAGGGCCTCAACAATATCGCCAATGTTGACTTGTGCCATGAAAGAGTCAATCGGAGTTAATCCTGATGCAAGGATACCTGCATAGGATGTTGTGGGCACACTGAAGAATCGGCCACAAAAGGGCTTGGATGCTCTTGGAGCAGCAGCCCATGCTGTGGCCAACACGCAAAGCGAGCTGGAGCCTTATTCTTGTTGGCTCCGCTGAGCCAATGAAAAGCCTTTCGGCGACCCCATTTGTTGTTGATGTTGTGACGTGGTACTTGCTGAAAGCCTGTGGGAGTGAGGTTGAAGGGCAAAACCAGTGCTGGCCGAAACCAATCCCTGTTTTCCTTGTGAGCAGATCAACCTTTGGACCACGACAGGCATCGCATTTACGTCTTGCCAAGCGTATGAGTTTTAGTTGATCGCAGGCTATCGCTTTGTACGAAGCCTTCGCCCAAGGTCGCGCGAGAGAGAGAGAGAGAGTGATCATAGTGAATGCAGCCACCGTTATAGCTGTGGCATCAACATTACTTACCCTGAGTCGCGCAAATGTGTTTAAATGTTGCTTTCCAGTTGTCTAATTTGAATTTAGTAAAAGTAAAAGTGCTTAAACAAAAAAACAGCAACAGCAACAGCAACAAAAAAATGCGTAACTTGTTGGTGTTTTTTGGAACACATAAGTTTGAATGACATCAGGTTGAAAGCGCTGGAGACGTATCCGCTTTTGATGCCTTTTCCAGAGTCGCATTTTTTCAGACAGAAATGGACACACATGGTAGAATAGGCTTTAACTTAAGTTGATAAAGTGAAATGGCACAGTCCCTTCAAAATCACTGACTCTTTCGCAAACTAAACATGGAGTACCTAAAGGTATGAAGCAAAACTCAAGTGATTCTGCTGGACCAATGCGCTGGTACATGTTGAACGGACCTTCCAAAGCTGCACTTTGCTGCACCTGCAAATTTGGAGGCAAAAGAGACTCTCTGTTTTTCTTAGCATCGCACAAAGGATGTGCAAGTTATTCCGGTTGTATAGCGTTTGTTAAATCACGGACGATGTTTCGACCCCAAATTGTAGTCTCACGGGGTCCAAATAAGATCCAACTAGGCTTGCAAATTGCAAGTAAGACTAAGACATAACGAAACATTTTGTAAGAGGGTCCAAAAACAAAATGAGTGTACAGACTTTATTTTATTCATCCGCTGCGTGCGTTCATCTCTAAGTCTTGTCTTGGTCATGCACATTGTATTTTTGAACCATTGTGATAATCAATGAATAACTCTATTCTTCGACCCAACTGAAAGTGTACATTTTCAGGTGGTCCCAATTATATCAATTTGCAGGCATTGTTGGATATAAAGATGTACAAGTTCAAGGGGGCCAAACAATATATCCAACAATGCTTGCAGATTGTAAGTAAGACGTAACTAAACAGTTTGTAAGAGGTCAAAGAATAGAGAGATTGTGGTGTTGCTTTTATTAATTCACTTCATGCTGCGTTTATCTCGAAGTCTGGTTTTGGTTATGCACATTCTAAAGTTTTTGTACATAATCACTCTATTTCTTGAGGTTGTACGTCTTTCACGGGGTCCAAGTTATGTCCACCTGCAGGTATTATTAAATTGTTTTCCCCCAAACTATATCAAATGTCCATGTGATTTTATACATAGTTTTTATACACAATAAAGTTTACAATTGCAACAGGCTGATGCATATGATGCAATAATGAGAGTTATATAAAAAACATAGACTATTCAGAGGAGTCGTTTGTTTGCTTTTCATGAACCTGGTGATGCAAATGATACAATAATAATGAAAGATATGGTAAGACACAGATGATATGTGAAAACCAAGTGTGTGTTTTTTCAATGTGTTCTCCCACCACCACGTCTCTGTCCCAGACACACCTCATGATACAGGGCGTGCATTTTCAGTCCAGGACGGAAAAGACTATCCCCTGCTAAAGCTATATAGCGTTGAACGCGACCCAACAGAATCACTCCGCTCAGTGGTGCTTGAGAATGGAAAGCATGTCGCTGGAGCACTCAAATACAGTAACTATGTACGCACGAAGACATGCTGCCTAAACAGGAAAACCCACATGATATTTCTCTCGACTTCTGACAAACTCTTGAGGTTTTTTGATGAACTTTTCACGGGGAGACTCATCAAACAAAATAGAAATGCATCAACAAAAAAACATAGAAACGAGCAAAGGAAGCAAGGAAGGAAGGAACGAAGCAAGAAAGGAAGCAAGAAAGGAATGAAGGAAGGAAGGCTGTGAAATTGAAATGCGATGTTGCAAAACTTTGCCCAGATGCCCAGCGCAGAGACCATTGGTTTGTTGGTGGTCAGCCTGCCACTGTTGCATTGGACGACTTCATTTGTGAAGGCTTGATGTATTGCCTATACAGTGATGAGTCGTCCTACAACAACATCGTGAAGATCACAAGGAGCCTATTCTTGCACAACTACCGAGCCATCTACTATCACAACCAGTACAATTGGGACTTCAAGGTGAAGGAGTTTAGCGTCAGCAGCTCGATATTCTTCCGCAACTGCCAAGCTATCTCCTTATCTGTTTGGTACTGCATGTCTTGCATCATCGAAGACTGTTTGTTCTTGCAGAACGACGATGGTATTGTTGGTGAGTTTTTCGGCTCGGGAGCACCCAGCGCACGGTACTTGAAGTCAACCTTCGCCCAAAACGTTCAAGCTGTTTCGCGCAAGGTTGAGAGCTACAATCGTGGGTCCAACTTCGAAGAGATTCTGTTCTACCAGAATGAGTTTGCATACTCTGACGTTTCCGGATATCAGCCTGCAGAAGAGGAAAGCTTCTGGCAGAATGTCACCTTCTTGGACAACCATATCAGCATGTTTCTGCGATCTAGCCTGCATCGTTTGCAGCGGATCAATTTCCTTGCTCCCTTTCACATCTACTACATTGGGACTTTGCTGTATGATCTCAGTCTGTCTTTAACGTTTTGGAACACCACTTCAGAGGATGATGTGGAGGCCAAAACGTATCATGCCATCGATGGAAGTGGTCAAGGACTTGTTCGGTTTCTTGATGCAGAGTCCATGCCTTCAAGCCCCTTCCTTCATCAGATGTATCAAGCAGATCCTTGCGCAGGGCAATGTGTGCAGAATTGGTTCAACACAAACTGGTCGAAATTGATTCGGGCAGATGCAGGCACCTTTGGCTTATATGATGTTGATCAAAGCCTGAGCAGTGGGCAGAGCTTGAGAGATGCTTTGTTGAGTGGGCACCACCCAACCAACATGTCGCTGAGCATGTACATGCAGGATCTCATCGATTTGTTCGATGCAGTTGGTGCTTACCAGACAGCGGGCACAACCACTAGCCGTCTTCCAAGCACTACCCCAGGCACCACCCTGAGCACCGCAACCACCACAACGACTCCTGCCAAAGGGTGGGCATGGTTTGTGGCTGAGGCACTTGGCGCCGGGGTGCACCCGACGGTTGGGAGTGGAGCAAGACAGGTTTGACGCTGATTGTAATCCAATTGAACGTATGGTTCTGGAATTTGGAGAGGTTTATGCAAGCATTTCAATTTTCTTCAAGTGCGGTATCTCTACCAACTGGTCGTTGAGTGGCAAACAGTTTTTTGAACAACTGTTTCTCAAACACATCAAAACACACGGGGGAAGTGATTTCCAGCACAAAGCAAGCCTTTCTCCTATCCATGATCAGGGCGCCATACATTTGTACCTTGGAATAGGGTCCACAGGCAGCCCTGTCTTCAAGAAACAAACCAAAACCCAACTGGCAGTGGGTTGAAGGGACCCTGAAAGGAATCCAAACACGGGAAGTCGGTGCCGCTGGTCGCCCTGGGTTCCCCACAGTCCCGGCTCAGAAGATGGCTCGTCACTCCATGCACATTGTTTTGACCATAGGGAAGCTTCTAGAGTGAACATGTTTTTTGGAATTGCTGAGCAAATGTGAGAATCCGCCAAAACCACATGGAGAATGACCTTGACCTTGGTAACCGACGAAAGGTGACCATGGACATTGGTAGATTCACCACGACTCTTCAAATACTTGGCAACGACGGCGAGAAGTCTACATCCAGCGGCGCCATGGTCCTTCCAAGTGGCTCCAGTCAAGTTTCTGCGCCTTCAATGAGTTTGTTTGTGGCGCAAATTCTTTTCCAAAAACTCATGTGCAAAGCGCATAGAATCAAATGAAACTGTGTGAAGAAGAATTCACACATGGTACAGTGACTGCTGGTACCCTTTCAAGCGAAGAGCGGTTCAGCGACAGCGCAACTTGTTGCTTCTCGACAGCCGAATGTTTTGCCTGCCGGTGCAGGAACCATATCATATTTCCGCAGTTGAAGGTTGCTGCGAGCCGCGGCCGCAAAACAGCAACTTCTTGTGCTTCCGTCGCGACTAACTTAAAGCGCGGGATGGCCTTAACTTGCACCAATTTCTGAAGACGATGAGATTGGATGCCCCAAAGTTGTTTTTTGGTCACTCACATCCAAAACGCCACTGCAGTGGTTTCATTTTGGTTTAGCTACTCTGGCTCTTTCAACCATAGATTTGATCAGCAATGTTGCGCTCGTTAGTCTCGACAACGGTACCAAGCCTTTGTGTTTTATGGGAACGTGAGGAAGTGCCTCATTAGCAAAAGTTCTGCCAGCAACGGAAACTATGGCAAAACACGCACGCCTGTCCATGCACCGACAATGTTGCAGGCATGTCCTCTTTGCGAAAGAAGCATGCTTTGTTTGACGGGAGCATGTCAATCAAAGCAAGAACTCCTGGACTTGATTTGTGCCACTGTCGCAGCTGTCCGTTGGGCGGAGCCCCCGAGAATGTGGCACTGGGACCCCAATGCGGCCAGAGCAAGCCAAGTTTCGGGCTGAGGATCGACCAGCAAGCTGCACACTAAATCGTAAGTTCTGGCCTCCAACCTAATGGCGATGTCCTCCAACCTATCAAATCGTGAATTCTGGCATTTGTTGGTTTCTCGTGTCGCAAGCTGTACACTGATGCAAAACCCACGCCGGCTTGAGTGACTTGCAAGGGCCCTCAGAGCGTCTAATCTGTCTTTTCAGTTTCGACGTGGACGATGGAAACTGCAGCCGCTGGCCTAAAGCAGTCGCGTTTCATCTCTGTTGGGGACAGGTCCGTTTCACTCCACAAGAAGTTTCACTTTGGCTTCGCAATTTGGTCTCGTGCGCAGGCCAACCCACTTTGAGTTGTGCACTGTGCTTGAGAAACATGAACTGCACACGGGCCAACTTCAAGCCGAAATGAAGAGGTGGAGGATGGAGTTTCTGAGTTGCGCCAAGAAGTGGAGGGTGAAGAGCTACTTCAAAGCACGGACGTTTTCACAGATTTTGGTCAGCGCGTCCTCGTGTTTAGGTCCATCAGGGACGCCATGGGACGCCCGGCCCATGTGGCGGGTGGCTCGGGTTTCAGCTGTTTCAGCAAGTAGCGTTGCAGCTTTGATTGACTTTGCTTTTCTTTTGAGACTCTCACACATGTCGTGCGCAGACGGCCCTCAACTTGTCATTTGCCATGCCATTGGCGTCCTCCCATCTTTAAGAACCAGGAGTACAAAGGCCCTTGACTTCATTGTTACAAGGGTACCATAGGGTACCTAGAGATAGCAAAGTACTTGCTGTGCTTTCGCGACGTCCCAGGGTATTCCTCCAGCCCCGATTGGCCACAGCGACGTCACCGGATTTCTGTGCAATCATCCGCTCATTTTCCAGAGGATGTCTGCAATCCTCCTTGTGACATTGTTTGCATGACGTCTTGTGGACATGGTTCACATGATTCAGGATTGATTTCATCCATGCTGGAGAATAGGCTTGCAACCTTCCATGCTGATTCTCCAAGAGTGTATGCTGATTAATTGGGAAGTTTGTCTTGACCTGTATGTGAAAATCCAGTAGCGCAAGCCTTTTTCCCGTTCACTGCATTCTCAGCAAAGCAAGGTTGCTTACGGAATGGTTGCAGAAAGATTCATTTTCCCTGTGCTTGTTCCACTCAGATTGTTTGACCCCAGGCTCTAGTACCATGTTGCAAAGTGTCTGCAGAAATGGCCCCGGCTATGAATGCAGCCTCGTTGTGACACAATGACTGTTTTACTTGGCATGATTCAGATTTGTCTTCTCCCTCCCTCTCAGCAGCGCTTTCAATGAATGCTTCGTTTGATTCAAGCAGATTGGTATGCGTCTGTCAAAATCGAACTGAGCGAAAGCCGCAGATTGCTGGTCTATCTCTTTCTTTCTCTTTCCATATGCTCTATAGAACCTGCCACGGTTGGCAAAGGTCGACGAGCATCAATCGAGGAAATCGTAGGCCCCGGTGGACGCAATCCGCCAGCTCCGCGAGGGCCACAGAAGGACAACGTGAAATAGAGGCTGGAAGCAGTCCCTGTTTGTTTTTGCTTTTGGATGCTGAAGCAATCTCCCCAAAAGGGACTTGCTGCATTGTTTCGTCCCGTGATCCCTTTTAGGGGCTGATGCAAAGGAATTGCCTCTAACTGCCCACGGGTTGGTCTGCAAAATCACACAAGAAGACCAGTCGCTGAGTACGGCTTGCAAGCCGCTTATGGCCTCAGACCACCCTGACAGTTCTCAAGCTGGGTTCTGCCTTGTCTAGCAGCCCCACATGCCGAGGTGGGCAAGATCGGTCACTTTTCGAAAAAATACACGCATTCTTTGTTCGACGTTTGGTCTATATCGCCTTCGTGCCTTTGTCGACCCGTTGTGGTTCATCTGTAAGGACGGCAGCAACTGGATGCATTGGAGGTCGACAAACAGCGACATTCTGCTGTTTTCAAGGGCAGAAAAGAAGGCTCCGGTTCCTTGGGTTTTGCAGGGAAGTCCGGAGGTCGCCTTCCTTTGGGAGTGGCGCAACCAAGCACAATTTGCATTTGTGCTCGCACAATTTTGCTTAGACGGCATCAAGGAAAGAAACCTGTCAAAGGGCTTCTCTGCATTCGGCAGTTGAAGTGGCTTCTTTTCATACTTCGAATTGCTAGTGCACTGATAATCAATTCTGCATTTGGGAAGTCAGCACAGAATCCCCAGCTGTCCAAGTTTTCTTGTCGCTCGAGCTTCATTGGCTTCTGCGTAATGATACTTTGCAATCTACCTTGCCAAACGTGGTGTGCATTGAAAGCAAACCGAAATCACTCAAGCTGGCGAGACGCCGCATTCTTGCCACTGCATGCCACCGCATAGGTAGAAACCTAAGGAAAGTCTGACAACGAAAATAGCGTTCGCTTAGCGTTCTTGCTGTAAAGAAAGTGTTCTCGCTGTAGAGGAGACCTAAGGACTTCCATGTTGTGTAGTGGCGCCGCTGTTCAAGCAAGAAAAGGGCTTGTCCAGCACAGTCAGAAGTTGTCCGCCTGTTCCTTTAGCCATGCTTTCTGGTCTCTAGATATGGCTTGCCAGGACTGTTGCATCGGCTGAAGTATCTCGAATTCGCCTCAACGACTTGCAACTGTTGTGCAACTTATGTTCGCCTCAAACGTTTCAGTCTTCTCATGTGTTGCAACAGTTGACCCGAAGGCCTGCGCGCTGGCGTTGAAACAATTCGCAGACGCCTGTTGCAATTCGCTGCTGAAGCGACGTTTTTGATACCCAATGCGTTAATTGCTGTTTGAGTGGCGAGGAGGGTTTGCCCGTGTGAGCATGATGACCGGATTTCAGGTTCCTTTCACAGCTTTTCCGGTTCACAAACTACACATCTCGGCAAAGAAAGACTCCGATCTGCTTGAGCTGCCACCAGTGGAGATGCGCAATAGATTGACCCTAACTCCCATTGGATCGTAGAACAGAGGATGAAGATCCTGCTCCCTATTTTAAGTTGGGACGACAGAGTTCAGTGAGGTCACAGCGGAGTCGCGCGGACTTTCGCATCGTCGCTGCACGCAGGGCGCGCTCGCTCGGCGCGCGGTCTCGCTCGCGCTGCGAATGTCTACCAGTCGTGCACAATGGGGACGACGCCGACGCATTGCGGAAAACCCATAAACTTCGTAAAGATTTGTCCCGTAAACTTCGCTGACTGTGCTATCTATGCTCACGGCGAACATTGTTTGCGAATGCGTTCCCTGTCCAGTTTCTCCAGCCTGTTGCAACCCTCCAAAAGTGGCAAAAGAAGCCAAAAGTGGAAGTCCATGTCCTTGAAAAGTTGGCCAATATGTCCTGCACCACACGTTTCCACAATGTTTCCGCGAAGCTCCGCAATATGTTGTTCGCACTTTGTCAGGTCTCGTTTGAGGCTGAGTGCAAACACCCGCACGATTCGCCAAGGCACAAAAGCCACGGTTCCACTTCGTTTCTCGGTTTTGTGGGATTATCCAAGAGCATTGCCGAACAAAAAGGAGAGTCCGGGGTTCAAGATTGTGAGGCAGAAAACAAAGTTGTCCATTCCACCTCGAGCCCTGCAATCCGCGACGTTTCTTCAAAGAAGTTTGATTTCATTATTTTCGTAAGACGACCAAAGTT